AGTGCTTGCGAAGCAATGCTTTACGGCCGTCCCGCAAGCATCGCGCACTATCCTAGACACCACGCAACTTGCATCCTGTATTATTATAAAAAGCTGCTAATAAACGAATATATAAAAAAAAAACACACACACACACACACACACACACACACATACATATACAGGCGATTGCGCTCGGGTTGCGCTGCAGTGTTGGCAATATAATGAGAACTTATTTGTTGAATAACTTAATTTCTAGACGTACGATCGTAATGAAACTTTCAGAACGTAATCATAATGTTGAAATGTATGTGTATACCGAAGCACAAATCTCTAGTATTTGATATACGAAGGGGTGAATATATCTTCTGAGATCGACGTCTTCATACATACGGACAGACGGACGGACGGACAAACGAACAGACGGACAGGGCCAAATCGACTCAGCTTGTCGTCCTGATTATGAATATATATACTTTGTGTGGTCTGCCACGCCTCCTTCTGCTTGTTACATACTTTTAATAAAACCATTATACCTTGATTTCCCATTTTCAATGGGTTTAGGGTACGAACGTTGCAGTTCCCGATTGGGGAATACACATTCACATCCCATCAGCAATTTAGTATTCAAGTTTAGCTCTAATACTGGAGAAAATTCAATTTTTCTAGATTTACCACGCCCCTACTGGGCGTAGACGCTTCATTTTTGGCCAGCTCATGGAACAAGCTAACCGTATCCTAGCTGCAAAATTTGGATGCTTACGCTCAAAACATGAAAAAAATACAGGGTTTTATTTGGGGAATCGATAGAGGAGGTTACTAGTAACTGAACTATCCAAATTTAAACTTTCGCTTTTAAGCTTTTATACTTTAGGAGATATAAACTTTTGCGGTTTGCCACGCCCCCTGTGGGCGGACATATATATGTCCACCAAAATTTGTTGGTCTTGGGAGGTCAACCCGAGTATATATACCAAATTTGAGGTCTCTAGCATCAATAGTGCCCAAAAACGGTCTAGCTTAAAAACTCTAGGAGATACAGTTTTATCCGATTTTCCACGTCCCTAATGGGCGTAGATATATCCGCAATAGCACGTGATCTTGGGTGGTCGATGCGGATCTACACTCAAAATTTCAGCTTTCTAGCTCTTCAATTAATATGACTCTGGCATATCGGAAAACGCATTTTCCGATTTGGGTAGTGGGTGGATAGGGATTTTAACACTTTATAAATCGGAGATATACACGAGTATGTGTTCCAAATTTCAAGTCTCTAGCTTCAATAGGGCCGAAATGAACTGCGTTCATACGGACAGACGGACGGACAGCAAGGCGGACATTGCACAAATCAATATACTCATTTCACTTTTGTAAATGAGTATAATTAAAATATAAGGTTTCTTACTTCTAGAAAGAGCAAGATGCTAAAAATGAACAAGAATACAATCTATTGAATTCTTAAAATTATTGAATTTTTAGCAAGAGACAGCAGTTTTACGAATTATAGTGATTTTCGAATTTGGGCGGGAGAAATTAGATCGATTGGATTGCATACCTTTTCGATAAGAATTTGTATCGTTATTGCGTTTCCTATATTTATTTTTTTTGGAAATCGATAGTCGTATATAGTTATAAATATAGTATATCACTAAGATTGTTACTAATTTACTTACAAAAAAGTAAGTAAGAACACTTGGAATATAAATCTCTCTCCGAAATTGTAATATAATAGTGTACATATTTACGCCTATCACTTTGTGGGTTATTGTCAGGGCTGCAAAAAATGTCTACGGTTTTTATCGAATAAATTAATTCTGGTGTTTTGTTTATAAAAAAAAAATGCATAGAGGAAGTAAGTCGAATGGACGTTTGGGGAAAAACAGCTCTCGTCCGCCAGGACTGAAAGGCAGAGACATTGGCATGTACTACAGAAATCTTGCCCGACAACGTCAGAACTCAGACACCAAAAATGAGCCCAAAATCAATTTGAGTTGCGATGTTAGTGTTCCGCCTGGAGTTATTGCGCGTGTCAATGAATACATTGATCAGTTTAAGGCAGCCCGGAAAGCTGGGCATAAGCATTTGGATGAGGATTTCCAGCAGCAATTTCACCACATGTTAAGTATGAATTTCGCTGCCTTCATAGAAGAGACAAAAAAACAGAACCAAGATTTGAATTTACAAAACAGAAGCCTAGATGCCCACCTTGTGGACAAACAAAAGGAACTTCTTCAAAATGCAGACTTTCGAGCGCGCTACGAAGATCGTATGAAATTGCCCGCAATGGTTCACGCAGCAGAAATCATCGACGCTGTGGATAAGAATCAAGTTTTGTTAATTGTGGGCAGCACCGGCTGTGGTAAGACAACCCAGGTGCCGCAGTTTCTGCTAGACGATTGCGTAGCAAAAGGAATAGGATCTTGTTGCCGTATCGTGTGCACGCAGCCTCGTCGAATCTCAGCTATAACAGTGGCTGAGCGTGTTAGTTATGAGCGTGTGGAACCCATTGGACATTCTGTAGGTTACCAGATCCGCTTAGAGAGCCGGAAGCCTCGCGAACGTGCCTCTATAACGTACTGCACCACAGGAGTGCTCTTGCAGCAGCTTCAATCTGATCCGTTGTTGCACAGCGTGAGTATTCTTCTCCTGGATGAGATACACGAGCGGAGCATTGAGACCGATTTGCTTATGGCATTGCTCAAAATTATACTGCCACACCGGCCTACCTTGAAAGTTATATTAATGAGTGCGACGGTGCGGGAGGAAGATTTCTGTAACTACTTTAATAGATGCCCAATGTTTCGCATAGAAGGTGTTATGCATCCGGTCGAAGTTTTCTACCTGGAGGATATTCTCGCTATGACAGGCTATCAATTTGACTGCCGGAACAGTAATCGATGCCGTCCCCGCCTGGATCAGTCAGATCACAGAATCATGATCGAACCTTATATACGACAGGTGCGCGACAGGTACGATAGCAAAGTGCTTGAACAGCTGCGAGTACCCCATTCCGAAGGATGCGAGGACATAGAGTTCATTGCGAGTCTCATATATTATATATGTAACAATAAATCAGATGGTGCTATATTGGTCTTTGTGCCTGGATTCAATAAGATATCACAGTTACATAACACTCTAAAAAACCCACGTTCACCTTTGGGACAGCGGTGGCGCAACCAGTTACTCATCTTTCCACTGCATTCAATGCTGCCCTCGGTGGAACAACAGTCTGTGTTCAGGCCAGCCCCCAAAGGCAAACGAAAAGTAATTATATCCACCATTATTGCCGAGACTTCAGTAACCATTGACGATGTTGTTTACGTCATTAATACGGGCCGAACCAAAGTAACTGACTATGATATTGAGACAAACATACAATCCCTTGAGGAGTGCTGGGTAACGCATGCAAATACGCAGCAGCGCAAGGGGCGTGCGGGCCGTGTTCAGCCAGGGGTCTGTTATAATCTGTTTAGTCGGGCACGAGAGGCTCTGATGTCAGAAGTGCCAACTCCAGAAATTTTGCGTTGCAAACTAGAAGCGATCATACTTAGTCTCAAAGTACTGCATATCGATGATCCTTACGCATTGTTTCAAACAATGATCGATCCCCCTGCTCAACGAACCGTGAGCATAGCCATTAATCTACTTAAGCGGTAAGTTGTGTTGATCCTTTAATATCGATTATAAAATTGTATCTGCTCCAACCAGGATAGAAGCGCTTGACATTGATGGTAAGCTGACACCGCTGGGCATGCATCTGGCGAAGCTTCCAATTGATCCACAAGTGGGTAAAATGATTGTGATATCAGCACTTTTTCGTTGTGTGGATCCCATTACATCCGTCGCAGCTGCTCTCTCCTACAAGAATCCGTTCTATACGCCCTTGGGTCAGGAACTGCGGGTAGACCAGGCCAAGCGCAGGATGGCCCAAGGAATGCACAGCGATCATCTAATGATACATAACACAATCTGCAACTATCGCGAAAGCGTAGAGAACCATAGAGATCGTGACTTTTGCTACAACAACTTTCTCAGTCACATGACACTTCAGCAGCTAGAACGTATGAAGTCTCAATTTTGCGAGCTCCTCAGTAACTATAAGTGAGTAACTATTACACGTGAAGATATTAAAATAATCCGAGTGTGTCAATGCATATAAGAGCCATCACGTTCCTCATAGTAAAGCGCGAAAGATCAAAACCAGAACGATTGCAATTTCATATGTGGAGAAAATACATATAAGCTGCGAAGTCCTTATATTTATTACACTCAATAAATAATTAAACTTTGTCTATAGGTTCCTAAATTCAACGAACTGTTTGGACCAATCATCTAACATTAATTCTGATAAAATTCCCCTGCTTCGTGCAATAATTGGAGGCGGTCTCTATCCCAACATGGCGCATTTGCGGTAAACTGTATTTAAAGACTTCTTAAAATAATTAATATATCATTTAAATTCTCTAAATAGTAAAGCCCGACAAATAAAAAATCGTGTTCGCGCGATTCACAATATGACGACTGATGATGGGCGGCGTGTAAATTTTCACCCTTCATCGGTAAACAGCGGCGCGACAGGATTTGACTCAAACTATTTTGTATACTATCAGCGGCAGAAGTCAACAGATCTCTATCTGCTCGACGCTACAATGGTGTTCCCAATGGCACTTATAATTTTTGGTGATGGCGTCGAAACTGGCGTTGTAGATAATAGACATTATCTGTCCGTAGCCCAGACCTACTAGTAAGCTTACGATGAAACATCACATTATAGATTCTTTTCTTACGGTCTTTGCTTATCTTGTTTAGTTTTAAATGCAATACAGAAACGATTTCAGTAGTGCTGGATTTGCGTTCCAGTTTACAGCTCCTGTTGCTTGAAAAAGCTTTGCATCCAACGCCTATCGAGGAAAACAGCAATGCTGATAAATTAATCAAGTAGGTTAAAAAAAAAAAAAAAAAAAAAAAACAAGTAAGACTCAAGTCGAGCTGCTCGACTAGGAGATACCATGAACCCTACAAGCTGAAGGGGGCGTGGTATCCCAAATCTGTAAATTACAAAATGTTTGTATTCATCATATGTATATACACGTTAAATCTGAAGTCTCCAGGTCTAAAAGAGATAAAATGAGGCTGAAAAACAGAATCAATTTTTCGATTATTTTCGATAAAAGGTTTCGGATGATTTATCGAAAAATTAAAACAAACTCGTACTGCGTATGGTATACACGAGTATGCATGCCGAATTTCAGCTCTCTAGCTTTTGTATCTTCTGAGATCGACGCACTCAGACGGACGAACAGACGGACAGGGCTATATCGGCTCAGCTCGTCGTGCTGATCAAGAATATATTTTATGGGGTCTGCGATGATTCCTTTTGATCGTTACATACTTTTGCACAAAACCATTATACCCTGATTTCCCATTTTCAATGGGTGCAGGATATAAAAACAAGAACGTTGCAGTTAGGTGTTACCAGCTGCATAATTTCATTCACATCCCATCAGCAATTTAGTAGCTAAGTTTTGCTCTAATGCTATAGAAAATGCAGTTTTCAAATTTCAAATGCATTTTCCGATTTGCCACCCCCCTAGCGGGCGAATCGGGAAAGTTTTTATAAATCGGAGCTATAGTGTTAAACTTCTAGCTTCAATAGTGCTGAAATAAACTGCGTTCATACGGACAGACGGACGGACATTGCGCAAAACCAATATACTTATTTCACTTTCTGCTATATTTTAGGCACTAGAGACCTGAAATGTAGTATATATACACAGGTTGACCACCCAAGTCCAATGACCTCTCAAGCTATGATGGATTTATCTCCGCCCAAATGGGGGCGTGGCAAACCGCAAAAGTTAATATCTCCTACAGCTTAAGAGCTAGAAGCAAAATCAAATTTGGATAGTTAGATTACTAGTAATCTCCTCTATCGGTGTCCCAAAAATAATTGTTACGCCTCTTTTGGGGCGTAGCATATCGAAAAATACCCTGGAATTTTCACATATTTTTTAGCGTAAGAATTCTACCGTTAGCTTGTTCTATGAGCTGGCAGTATTATTCCTGTACAGTATTACAGGAAAACTTGGATACTAAATTGCTGTTGGGGTGTGAATGAGTATTCCGCAGTCGGTTACGACCGACTGCAACGTTCTTACTTGTTTTTTTTTTTTTTTTATAAATATGTAATTATTATATATTATTTCATTCTTTTTATAGAGCCATTGAGCTTCTGCTTTCAATTGATGAACAAATGGGTGACGACTTTGAAATCATGTCGGATGAGATTGACAACATTTAAATCAAGTATTGCCGAACATAGATGTATTCTGATATGCTCAAATGAATGTGAAATAATTATACTATTGATTTGAAATTATTCAATCAACTTATGTTACCGAAATATATTTGTGTCTATATCAAAAATTTTATAAAATAAATATTTCAGAAATTATTATAGCTTAAGCCTAATTATCGTCAAGTAGACGAAATGCGTTGCGTGAACGTAGTACCTGATCATCGGATTCATCATCATCTGCGTTGGTTTCGTCGTTAGAGCTATTTTCGTCATAGCTATCTTCGCCTGTATTAAAAGAGTGGATAAAACTATTCACCAAGTATATTGTGCATAACTCACTGTCCGAGCAGATGGAAGACGTATCTTCATTAGTTTCGCCGTCAGGCTCATAATTATGAACTTGATATTTTTTAACTTCGGCCAAATCAGGATGTTCACTCCAGCTTTTCCGGTTATCAACATAGCCAGGTGGATAAAGCTGAAATATTAACTGCTGCTGTCCGGATAGACACAGACGTAAAATGTGATTAGCGGCACGATAACGATCAGGGCGAGCTGCCTTGGCGGTTAGAAATCCTCGTTTATACGCCCAGGCATCTGCGATAGCAATAGCCGACCACTCGTCATATTCTTCTGGCAGATGCAAGCGCAAGCGCTGTGGTAGATTTACGTGCTCAGCCAGCAATTTGAGCGAACGATAAGGCACTTGCAGCTGGGAGATGGGAAAGCTGCCAAGCAGCACTTGCAAGCTCTTTGGCGTGCTAGAAGGAAAGACAAGGCCTGGACAGTCGCACACACGTACGTTTGGTACCAGGAATATGGTTTGGAAATGTTTGGTGTGACCTGGTGTACGGCTAACACTGACAACTTTACGCCCTTTTAGGGCATTGATTAGTGATGATTTTCCCACATTTGGAAAGCCGATGCATCCAATGGTCAAAACGCCGCTGTTGTATTTCACATGCTGATGCGGTGTAGTTTCGGTGACATTACTAATTCTCGATTCGCCTTGGTTATTTGTGGTTGCTTCGTCATCGTCCAACTCGTCGGTGCACATATCATCACGAATCTTTTGCAGCCATGCTGAGAGATCTACATCGTTTTCAACAATTTTTTGACACTCGCGATAGATATTATGCACTCCCTCCATACTTTGCCGATGAGCACGTTGGAAGCGACTACGTTGAGTGCCTTTTTGGCTACGCATTGAATACGATGCGAAAAGCACAACCGGAAGCTCTGGGTATCGCTCATTGAAATAGTGTCGCCAGGCAACGACAGCCTCAGCTGCGACTAGATCCACTTTATTAAAGATGACAATAGCTTGTTTCTTTATCGTGTGAATAATATAATCATACAAAGATGGTGGGAACATCAGTGACGCATAACGAACGTCCACAATGATTAGTAAAATATCCGAGAACTCAAGCACACGCCAAAGCTGACGCCACGTTTCCAAGTTTAACTCGAAAAGCGAATGCTCCTTGAGATTGTTGCGCTTTGTTTGTAGTAATTCGTCAACATACTCCTGCAATATCATCATCGCTTTATCACTTTTTATAAAATTTTCCAATGTACATACCTTGAAATATCTATTTTCATTGCGCTCCAATTGCTCTTTGCTTTGATCAAATGTCCAAGGCGGACGAACTGGAAAATCATATGCCTCAAAATAGCGCTCATCGATCTCCCTTTGAGTTGGCGTTAGGATATCCAGTGGACGAAAGCCCTCCTGTTTCATTAGCTCTATTTCCTTTTTGCTTTCTTGTATAAATTGAAGATTGTAACGGTTTACATTCTTGTTTCGACCGCGTGTTAAAGGCTGCTCCATTAGCTTCTTATCAACTATTCTCTCTGGTGCATCGCTGTCTTCGTTTGATTCTTGAGTACTGCGTAAGTACTTAGGTTGACCTATTGTTGTTTTTTTTTTTTTTAATTTGCTGTAATGGTTTTGAACGAATACAATGATTTACCTTTTGAAGAACGTTTTTGTAGTATCTGATCCTTCTTCTTTTTGCCGCTAAAAGCAACTTTTCGTCTCTGTTGCGGCATTTTTATTCGTGAGCCAAATTAATAATTTCTTTGCTCCTTCGTGTCGTAGCTGACGCAGAAATAACACAATATAACGCAGAAAAGAGCCGAGTGGCACATATGTAAATTGACTCGCCTCACTGACCAAACAACAGTCAGTGCTCACCTATAGTATAACATTGCTAATTTGAAACTTATTACGTATTTTCATATTGAAAAACAAATGCTTATGTGACTGTAATGTACATGTATTTATGGGAATTACATATAATTATGTGTTACCGCTGGCATACGCTGTTGCAGTTAAATTCCTTTAATCGGCTTAGGCAATCATGACAGACATATTTCCAATTAACAGTGGACAACAGCTGACTTAATATATTTGTGTGGTGTGTGTGCGTGTAGTACACCACGGTTGAGTGATAGTAGGTTTAACAGTGTGACGTCATTATTTCAGAATATGGTGGGCGCGCGTTTAAATTTGTATAAAAATCAAGCAATTTTAGCACTGATATTTGCCTTGAAACTAGTAGAGTAAATAAAATGAGCTGGGCGGATAATTAAAAGTTCTACATAGATTCATGAATCGGAAAATATAAAGGTTTTTGCAAATTTTTATACTCTAAGGCGATTTCTTAGCATTTATTAATTACCCAATACCTTGACTTCTTTTACTTTTGCATATAACCACAATATCTATGACTTGAATTTGTAAAACTAAAGAGCTACTACTAAGCATTACACGTTTTCCATCAATCCGCATCATTAAACGTAATAATTTCATTCTTTATATTGCAGCATTGTTAGCTTCTGTCTAGGTCTTTAGAGCTGACTCAGGCTGATTATATGTTTTCTTAGGCTTCAATACTCATAATCATGCTCAGTTTTCGCCAACCAATACACCAATTTTATTGCATTCCACTGGATGCTTCTAATATACCAGCAGGTGTGAGTAGCACCTTTGTTGATACAGCTTCAATGTGTACTTTACTTGAATGTATAGATACTATGTATATTGGGATAAATATACCTTATTGATGACAAAAAGTCAGTTAACTTGTCCATCAACCATTCTTTCTGGCATATTGGCCATTTTGGTCATATCATTGCTGCTTTCGAGAGGCCTCTCAATTTATACGCGTATATACTTAGATTCTTTATTGTATGGTAAAAAAATTAGTGATTGACCATTTTTAAGGTATTTACTATTCTTAATTTTGTTTTCAACCACTTAGGCAATCTCTGCTGAAGCGCTCGACAAGCCGGGATAACAGCAGTGGGCCACTTTAGCCTATTTATTTTTAGCCTATCCCGGAAAATTGTCGAAATCTAGCCTTTAAATATTTTGCTTTTATTCATTTTACCATTTTATATTATTTGGCTATCTATAGAAGTAAATCGAACAAAACTAAACTTTTTTGTAGGTCTTTGGCCTAGCATTAGATTTACCATTATATACCATGGTAAATATCATAAATTAATACTAAAATACAAATGATAATATTAAATTTTCGTAGGAAGTATTGACATATAGGGATGCTAGCAAATTCAACTCGTTTCATGAAATTGCATTTTTATACCCTGAACCCATTGAAAATGGGAAATCAGGGTATAATGGTTTTGTTGAAATGTATGTAACAGGCAGAATGATCCGTGGCAGACCCCGCAAGGTATATATATTCTTGATCAGGGCGACAAGCTGAGTCGATTTAGCCCTGTCCGTATGTCTGTGTGTCCGTCCATCTGTCGCGTCGATCTCAGAAGATATAAGAGCTAGAGACTTGAGAATGTCCGTATATATCGCGTGCATATAGAATTTATAACTAAAAAACTTTAACGCATCCCGTTATTTTTTATCGATAAAAACGTTATAGAAAATCAGTTATAAAATTATATCTCCCACATTTTTAGAGCTAGAGTCTCCAAAGAGCTTTCTTACTTGTTTGCAATAGAAATGTTATCATTAATTAAGTCATTAATTGTAATCATTCATATAAGGTTTCTTTAAGAAATATTTAATTGCTTGAATTATATAAACAATATTCCTTTCATCTGTACAGATATGGATTGCGCCGTTATGCCATAATTACGAACTGCCAGAAAAATATATTGATCTTATAAGTTGCAGCGATAACTATGCAACTCTACAGACTGCCACTTAGATAAAATAAGTGCACATTTTTTGCTTTTTTAAGCCTGTTTTTAGATATATATATTTTTAAGAAATTGTTCCTATTTTGTCGGTCAAAATCTGGCACCACTGGATACCAGAGCAAAATCTGAAAATGTGACGTCTGACAAATCTGTTAGTTAACATTAAAAATATCAGAGCTGCTCTTTGCAACCGCTAACGATGTGTCCTATGGTTAGTGGTGCAACCCACTATCTTTTTTAACAGTGCTCTGTGGCACTATCCAAGTTTCACGGTTATAGATATTATACCTTCTTTGTATTAAGATGAAACTCTGAAGATGTTTTTAATTGTAGTCCATCGAAAATATTCCATTTTGCGATAGCTCAAGCTGTTAACGCTTACTGGATATTTTATATTCAATAAATATAATTTATTTAAAGTGAAGCTCATTTGATTAAATTTTGGAAAGTTTCTTTTATTATTCAAAAAATTTGATAGGGAAATGTCTATCTTTCTTTAAGCAGGAGTAACATCCGAAATTTGTCTATTTCTTAAAATGGTTGTATAAATTTAAAAATGTGGTATTTAAATGCTATCACTAACCAGAGATGGTTAGTGATGCTAAATTCATGTATGTTATGCTGCTGTTAAAGAACACTGCCGATAAGTAATTTTGTGCTAGCATTGGCGATCATGGAGCTGTTCAAAGTGCATTGCATAGTGGTCAGTGAAAAGTTCTTCAAATGCCATTAGGGGGTGTAAAGGTTTTAGAGTTTGTGGGACTAGCTCCTGGGCCATTGTGTGGCAAGATACTCGCAGATTTCGGTGCAAGCGTAACCCGCATAGACAAGGTACATACACATTGAAATAGGATTGCAGTTGGTATAACCTTGCAATATTGTTTTAGGTAGCGGATAATTCTTTGGATGTGCTGCACCATGGTAAGCGCACGGTAGTCGTTGATCTAAAAAAGACGTTAGGTCAGCAGATTATCCAACAGCTTGCTCGAAAATATGACGTTATAGTTGAACCATTTCGTCCCGGAGTCATGGAGAAGCTTAATTTGGGCCCTGAACTATTGTGCACCGCCAACCCACGTTTAATTTATGCACGCCTCACGGGATTTGGACAACATGGTCGACTTGCGCCACGTGCCGGGCATGATCTGAATTATGCAGCCGTATCTGGGGTGCTTTCCATGCTGGGCCGCGAACATGAGAAACCAACGGCACCTATCAATCTTTTAGCGGATTTTGCTGGTGGAAGCGTTATGTGTGCATTGGGAATATGTTTAGCATTGTTGGAACGTCATAAATCTGGAAAAGGTCAGGTTGTGGATGCAGCAATGGTTGATGGTGCTGCATATGTCGCTAGCTGGCTATTTATGTCAAGAAACCTTGACATTTGGGGTCACCAGCAACAGCGTGGAAGAAATCTGCTGGATGGCGGCGCTTATTTCTACGACACTTACGAAACAAAAGATGGTCTTTTTATGTCGGTGGCCGCATTAGAGCCGCAATTTTTTAGTTTGATTAAGGAACGATTAAATTTGCCTCAAGAATTGTCGCAATATGGGGAAGAGCATCAAGTCCAAGGTAAACAGCTATTAACCGATATATTCCTAACAAAAACGCAAGCCGAATGGTCAGAAATATTCGAAGATATAGATGCTTGTGTTTATCCTGTGGTGGATTGGCAGCAGGTCCAGAACCATGACCACCACGCTACCCGCCAATCTTTTGGGCGAGTTGGAGGCAGTTCGGTGCCCCGTCCGGCTCCTCGCTTAAGTCGGACGCCTGGTAAACTACGCTCGAGTACACAATTTGATGTAAAGAGCTTTCTTGATGAGCTGGACATAAAACCTGAGAAACTGCGCCAACTGCAGGAGGAAGCAGTATTGATATTGCCAAATAGGCCTAAACTGTAGCTAAATAGTAGTAAATAAAAGTCCATATAACTATTTATTCTTGCATTCAAAATACTTTTATTTCCTTGCACACAAACACGATTACATTTCTTATTCATCACGTACAAACTATCAGTCATCCAGTGCTTAAGATCAATCATTTAAGCCGCAATTTAAACATACTTTTTTTTACAAAATAATTCTCATTTTTGCAGTATAGAAATAATATGAATTCATTCATACTATTCGATTCAAGAACAGCTTGACCAGACGATTAATTTATTTATGTTCGGATTCATACTCTTCACGCATGCTACATAATTCGCAAACACGCGTTTATGGTAAATGACAGTAAAGAAGTTACACATTACTCACTTAAATATATAGCATATTTATTTTTATTTATAACCCGTTGCAAGCACCGCGCGTCAGCGTAACCTCGTCATAATAATTTGATACATCCGTACATTTCAGTATTAGGTACATATTTGCACTTGTAAACGTATGTATATGAACCTGCAATATGCATACAGACATTGTTTTCATTTTCACCATTCGCTTATGTACGTTGCGTTGTGTAAATTTTTCTATTTTTCTGTTAGTTCGTATCGTACGTCCCGCGTAAAGTAATTAATTATAGTCCTTATGTAGTTGTAAGTATTTACGTATGTATTGTATAAGTAGAAAGTCTCAGTTCTCAGTATAAAATCAGTACCATATGTTTCGTTTCAATTAGTTTTGTTTTGATCTCTTTCAATGTAATTTTTTTCTTCTAATTTGTTATTCTTTTTTATATTTTATTCTTGGTTTGTATTCTTACCAACCAGAATTTTATTTTGGATTGCTCTGCTGCGCGTGGTGCTTTTTACATACATATTCACACATCAATCACATACATGCTCATTTTAACAGATGCATTCTGGTTTAAATTCATTGAATAGAACACGATTCAATTTTATGTAAACGTGTTCATATTCGCTCTTGTATTAACCAACCATACCTATACACAGCGACAGTATTTTTTTTTTTTTTTATATTAATGACAAAAGCAGACCGACCATTTAAATTTACACCTTTTGAATTCATTTGTGAATCTGGAATGATATCTGCACACATTCACGCACATTCAGTAGTCATCGTTTTTCTTGCACTCCCAACCGCACATATTTTACAATGTCGATGTATATACAATAATTGTGCAGGGTCAGCTAATTTGGGATTCGAAATGTCTGCATTACTCTCAAATAAGCATCCAATTAAAATACATAAGATTTCATCATCATCATCACACATGCGCACAAGTTTATCAATCATTCAAAATGTGTTACCTGGAAAAAGATACACAAAAGTTGTCATTTCTATTTGCAAAGCGTTCAAATGAAACTTACGTTCACCAATGTGTGATACATTTCCAATTGTCTTCCGGTGTTTTGTTCTCAAACATAGTTCTCATACATGATGCAGTCCGGAATCGAAGCCTCCAGGACACATTAGCAAATTCCGTCCGCAGTGTTTTTTAGACTTAAAGTATTTCTAATCTAATTATTTTGGCAATTCGAATTGAGTGTAAATAGTTGAAATACGTAATTTATGACGAATCGTTATATAGATTGAAAGGTTTATTTAAGAATTACAAGTGAACAGAATGATTTTACTTATGGACGGCAGTGTGATAGTTAAAATCATTCAAAATAATAAGATATTACAAGTTTCTCTGGGTTACTTATGAATGCAAATAACGCTGAATTATGTTTAAATTACTCTAACTGAATGCTTAACGCAAATATGTAGATTTACTTTCAATCTATATTGTAAAATATTTAAAATTCTTAGAAAGATTAGAGAGCTGTTAAAAGATTTTAAACGGGAATTTCTTACATTAAAGTTTTGTTTTACTTTAAATGTATTGTTAAATAATTGCTCAGAAATGTGTTTTTTGTACGGTTTAGTCCATAAATGAGTGATCGTGTGAAATACATAAGATAAAAGTGAGTTTAGTTATTAACAAACTCGCGTCGTGTCGTTATGTCCTAAAAAGTCATATAGTTCGTATGTTGTTTATATATTCCTAAATGTATGTATGTATGTACGCATGTATGTAAAGTGAAGTACTGTAGTGTTACCCTGGTCCGTTGTCGTTAGTTTAGTAGTGCTTTGCTTCTTGGTTTGTTTAACTATATATATACAATTCAATATGATGTTGCAGGTAGTTTTTCGGTTGTTACTGTATTCGTTTTTCATTTCATTTCACATTCGTGTTATATTGATTTCGTACTTAAAATTATTCGAAAATCAGGCCTGGTCTGAATATTGACTGAATAATATTAATGACAGTTTTATGTTCTATATAAAAATTGAATCGCTTTAAATTTATTGTTTTTCCCATATTGTGTCTTCATAATTGGGATTTGTTATTTATTATTGAGGATACATAACGAATTGGCATCCGTTTAAAATCTTTTTCTTTTCTTTTTATCTTTTTTGGTGTTCATTAATTTGTGTTTGGTATATCGTCTATTTTGAAATTCGCTTATAGCTAGTCATTCGTCTTATTTATTGGAAATTTGCTTAATGATCTCTTGAAAAAACTTACATTTAGTAATATCACACAACACGCCACACTCGCGCGCATTTAAAGTGCTTGTATTTATAAGGAGTGGTTCTCGCTCATAACACTTCAATCACAAACCATATAGTTTCAGTTCAGACATCCACATACCTCAGATTCACACTGTAACTAGATATGGAGATTAGTAGCAATTAATAAATCATTCATTTATAATCAATTCATACATGGTACACAGGCATTCATATGGTTCATTCATAAGTCATCAGTCATACCAAAATATTCTGGTAAACGCATATTTGCGCACTCGCAGACTTACACAGTCATACTCTTACACATTTTCTCACACAATGGAAGTGAAACTCCTAGTTGCATTTTGGAATACGCCATTTTATGTATGTCTATAACTAAGAGTTTCATTCCCGCAAATCAACTAATTGGTTGATTTTTTTCTTTTTTCACTTACATAGGATTTTCTTATAAATTATGTCGCAGCCGTAAGATAATTTGTATACAATATTGCTATGTATTTTTATGTAGCTTTAGATTTTTATCGGGATTAATGTTATGTTATAAATTGATACCGATTTATACCTTACATTAACAATTTCATAGAGACATGATCATAATTTTGAATAACATTTTTGTTCTTTTTTTTTGCACCCCTTTTTGTTTTTCTGTAATGTATATAATCGGATTCTTTTTGGGTCATACTGAAATCGTTGTGCTAATAAGCTGCTTAAATGTGAAGTTGTCATAATGCTTATTTAATCTATGTAGTTATTTGGGCTGCAATAACGCTTCTTAGGAAATATCAAATTTACTAATGATCTCACACAAAAATAACAATATAAATATTATAATCATATCAGGATTTGGCTTACAATTTAATTTAAAAACAAAATTGTCTTAAATTTTAAGCGTCGCACAGCAACAATAAATCGGACAAACAAACTTGCAGATAGAATTTTCGAATTCGGACTGAACTGAAAAAAAATGTGTTACAAAAAAAAAAAATAAAATGAATGTTGATTGATTATTTCTTACGAACAATTAAGTGCAACGGGTTACTCACCAGTTTGGCTGCGTACACATATTGGGGTGGAAATAGATTAACACGTAAAAGCCCATTTTACTGAGCTATAACTTGACTGTTAATTTTCTTAATCTCCTTGGCCGCCCATGTACAGAGCATTTTGGTACGCTGACCCTTGGAACGCTTGCCTTCAGCCAGGAAATGTGTAATAACAACATCATCCAACAACGGATAGAGACGTGGACCAAAAGATGTACATAAATCCCCAATGAATCCAGCGACACTTGCCACCATTAAGTCCGAGACTTCACCGTCTTGGGCAATGCGCTTGATAAAGGAAATTATATGCATCAGATGAGGCTCCATGTGGAACACATCTGGATTGGCCGTTTGCTCGACTCCTTTAAGACCTTGAATTATACCGGTGTATGCCTCTAGAACACTTTCCCGCAATTCATTTATGTACTCTGTCATGTGGTAGTTGCTGGAATCCACCTAGGTAAAAAAAAATACCGTTAATAGACATTTCAAACAATAATGTGATTGACATCACCTGTAAATCGGACGCTGCCCGCAACATGTCCATAACTACATTTAGATATTTGAGAAAATCGCTCCCAATGCTTAGGGCCATATCGCCAAAGGCAGATAGAATTTGTGGTTTCACACTGCGATGAAGATTGGGCTCGGAGAGATCGCTCATCAATACGGAAATTATTTCATCGCAGTAGGGTACCATTAGGTGCTTTAATGCGCGACAAATATCACTAGTAAGTCCAATGGATGCACAGCATACTTGATATTCTTGATGATTCTTAAGTCCCATGATAAGGAAATCTTTAAAGGCTGGCATGTATTTGACAAATTGAAAGCCAAGTAGTTCGACCAGCGTAGAGAGGGCCAGGAAAGCGTCCTCCTGAACACCACCCGACTTTCCGGCACTTGAGCTGAACATTGTCAGAATTGCTGTCATAATGGCGTCTGAAATTTGTGGAGCATCCTCCTCGCGCACCTTGCGTAGCACGCTCTGCAGAGTGGCACAGAGTAGGGATTGTAGGTCATTAAACTGGTGCCGATCGCTGTGGTTGCTGATGTGACTCTCCATCTGCATAACTTGGTTAAGACGCTCTAATATGACAATCGTCGTATGCTGGACAACCAAATAACAATCCAGAGGCGAATTCTTTATCATATTCATTAAAGCCTCATAGGCAGCACTGCGCAAATTGGCCTGTGCGCCATCTGAACGATCAGTGGCTTCCAACAATTGGGTGATAATAAACTCAAAGTATGGTGAGAGCGCATACGTCTCTGGCGTGTCTCCTTCGGTTGTGACGGCAGCTTCGTAAGCAGCATCCGAAAGGCCTATAAACGCCCAGCAAACATTGGCAGCCACACGGGGTTCCGACTTAAGACTCTTGACGAAGCACTCGAGCAATGTTTGTAGATAAGTTTTGTTTATAGCAGCTTCTGGAATAACCTGATAAGTAAAAAGAGTTTTGCAATTTACATATTTATATACAATGTATATGTGTAATACACAAATAAAATAAATAAATATATTATAACAAGTAAAATGATGCTCTCGGGCGCTACAGATTGTTTAATACATGGTCAAAAAACAGTTGTTCTATTATTATTATTATATTTCATTCCTATATACCACGCTTCAAGACTTGGCATATGAATAGAGGACGTAAACAGTAGTAATATAGTCATTACCTTTTGCTGTAATAATCGTAAAATTTTAAAAGCACCTTTTGCGATTTGCCACGCCCAAATTTTAATTTTTAAACTTTAGTATTACGATAATTTGTATAAGTTTGATCCGCCTCTAATGGATGTGGAGTTATATTTATATGGGATCTGAATAATTATTAAACTTAAAATCTTTAGGAGATTGCCAAACGGCCTTATCAGATGCCGGAAATAGTATATCCCGATTTGTCGTTATCAGGTTCCAAATCTCAACTCTAGTTTAAATACGGACAGACATCATACACCTCAGGAATAAGTATATATTATCATTTATAGAAATATTTGGCACTGTTGAACCAACACGCGATAGAAATCTATTGTATAGGAAAAGCAATAAATAAGCTTCAACTCACATCGCATATCCGTCCAAAGGTCCAAGCTGTTGTGTCGCGAACGATTACACTGGAATCGTACATAAGGCGTATCAGGGTGGGCATCGCTTGCTCAACAAGTGGTTTAAGCGTGTTGGGTTCTAAGCCATTGAGTACTGCACCAAAAGTCATCACTGCAGCATCTCGGTAGCGCCAATTCGGCGATTCAATATTTTCCTTAATAAAAGGCAAAACATGCGGCACAATTTCGTCCTCGCAGCATGTGGCCAAAAGCATCAAGCATACTGAGGCAGCTTTAGCCGGACTCCAGTTATCTTCATCGTCGCATTCGTCTTGGTTAGTAAGTTTCTCAACTAGAACCGGAGTTAAAAACTGAAGAGCACCACGTGCATAATGTTTGGAGACTCGTTGCGGCGCACGGCCCTGGTCGGTGGCCTCTTGGCTCTCAATGGCAAGATCAATTTCCTCATCGCTTACATTTGACCAAAACTCTATTCCCTGAAGAGCGATTGCATCATTTTCGGACTTCATGGCCTCCAAAGTAATTGGGAACAGTGCTTGGGCCATGTACGGCTCCATGAATTGGTAGTACAGCGACATGATCTTAACTAAACATTGCAAGGCAGCAACACATATCTGTGTGTCTGTGCATTGTGTTGCCTCACACACTACTTCCATGATAAAATTTCGCTCCATGTCCTTCTCAAAGTTTGCCTTTGTGAACTCTAATGAGTTGTAAAGCGCTGTCGTGGCAGCCAATCTTACATGATTACTGGGCTCCTGCTTGCGCATTCCATGTATGATGGCCGTAAGTACTTGATTGGATTGATTTTCAAGAACGCCGTATCGGATATCCTGGCAAATATAACCTATTGCCTCTAGCGCAGCTTCGCGGTGCATTTCGCTGGAGCCCTCATGGACAACCTTGTTGACAAGCGTCTGTATTAAAATGCCCCATCGATTGATGGGTAACTCAATGACAGCTACATAGGCAACGCATTGGGCAGCACATGATGGTCGAGTGTTTTCGGTGCCCAAAGCAGCAAGTATCTATGAATATATAACATTAATTTAAACACTTTTGCTTAGTGGTAAAGGTATTTGTTAGTACTAAATATTAAATACAAGAAAGTTTCACAAGATGTAATTAAAAAACTTATTCCGAATACACTATCAAATTAAAAAATTCATACTTATTGGTTATAAAGCAGAAACTATACGAATACAGACTAAGTTTTGTTGAACTTATACATTATATTATATAATTATATATACGGTTACTTACATTATTTTTTATAAGTTCGCGGGCTTCGTCAGGAAACTGGTGCCAGCGCTCCTGATACTGAAGACTGATCTTCTCATCCTTGCTGGTTAAGTGATTTTTCAATTGAAGACCAGCTGCCATGCGCGCTACAGCGCTATTTGTTGTATCAACTAGAATTTTGGATAGCGCCTTTAAAAATTCAGTCAGATTGCTGGCGGCAGCCTGCTCCAGGAAGTTCTTCGCCGAAAGCAATTCATTTTTGTCTAAGAAAAATAAATTTGAGGTTAGGCTGAATCGTTTACAATGGTGTTTTACTTTTTGATTAGTTTATAAAGTAAAATTTTATTATTACAAAAATATATGAATGAATTTATTATATTTATATACATACACTAATACATATAAATATAGTTAGTATGTACATATATGTATGTCATTGTGTATAGCAACCAAATATACACTTCGACGTTGCAACCCTGCGCAACATACGCGTCACTGCCGCCGACGTTGCGTCGGAGCCTATAACAAAATGGCTTTTTGGTTGGCCCTGAGCAACTAAACTTAGGTGCATTGGTGTACATATATGTACATGTATGTAGGTGCTTGCCTTAATTGAAATTTTCGTACATATGTATATGCATACATGCAGCTTTAAAGGATATTTAATATTTACCTGGTGAGACCGTCTTCTCCAAGATAACAATTAGTTGGCGTGTTATGTCCGAAGTCATTTTAGTGCTCTTACTTTCGATTCCGTGCAAATGCCGAAGCTGTTAGGGCGCGAATTGGTGGAATTTTTTTTTCGTAATCGCTTAGCTTTCTAGTGTGTATGTATATGTGAATTAGACAATACCGAGCAGCTGCCAAATAGGTAAACGAATATTAATTTTTGCTTTATTAATTGACGATGAAACGCACACTTTGGGAATACTGTGTCCTCCTAAAATTGATTTTTTCGCTTAGAATACTTACTCACTTTGCGTGTCTGTTTCCCCTTTGTCTGCGCGCTCCTGATGCTGTGTTGCTATTTCGATTTTGCCTATTCCAACTGTCAAAAAACGCGGGACCAGAAAAACTTTCGCTCTAATTGTGAATATATGTAACTTGAATTTGTCTAGCTTCAATTAACTTGAAACAAGAAGTTTTATGTTGACTAAACGTAAATTGTAAAAGAAAGACAAGCAGGCCGGCTCTGAATAATTCTCGACTCCACATGGAAAACTGCTGCGCGTCAATCATTTTGAAAGGTGGCAACTCGTGGCTTGCTCATAGCTGTCAGTTGAATTTAAATTTGATGCGTTTCAAAAATTGTAAAGTCAAAAGTGCACATATGAAGCAAACAGATTTATAGATATATAAATTGGCCTATTCATAATATAATATTTCGGCTTTCAAGAAAACATTTCTAAAAAACAAAGTTTTTCCATAAAAGAAACTCTGTTGTTATTTAGACGAGTTGGCACGCCTAAAAGTGGCAGCGCCGTTTTTGCGATTGCATAGTGCTGACGTTTATCAGAAAGAAATACGCCGAAAAAAGAAACAAAATTTGACAAGTTCTCGGCAAGGTACGCTCAAATAGACACTGTCGAGAGCACTGCAGAAACAGCTAATGTTCTGGTAACAATCCCTAGATGGTTGTTACAGCAAATTTTACCGTAAAACTTTGTAAATCCGCATGAACCTGACTGAGTATTCGTTTTTAGTTGTCAAAACACCAAGAATGATACCGTCACGGAGCCGTTTCACCATGGCTCTGTCATCTCCAGTGGCACTGGTGATCTTACTGCTCAACACGTTGACGATTTGTAAAGCCTTTTATTTGCCTGGCCTGGCTCCAGTGAACTACTGCAGGAAATCGGATGTGTCCAGTACATGCAAGGTATGTGTGTAAATGTACATATGTATGTACATACATATGTGTAATTCTTGTGCTTAGCGTTATAAAAAGCTCTGTACATCGTAAGGGACTCGTTCGTTTCGTTTCCTCTAAACTATACTCAAAGTAGTGATAAGATTCCCATGAGTATTACATATGTATGTATACCATTTCGAACTATGTGGACTGCGCGGTGGTCTGCTGACGTAGAGCGTTTTATTTGGCATTATCCAAACTACATACATATGTATGTATGTATATTAACTTCATACTATGTACATATGTATACTTTTACATGAAAGTTCATACATATGTACATATGCATGTCTAATGTTTATATACACACATACATATGTATATAAGACTGTTAGCTCAGTTGGCAAGATCACATATGACAAGACACTCGTTTAGTTTATCATTCTTTTCCATTCTAGCCAGATCATTCTCTTTAGGGAACATTTGTTTTTATTTACAACGAAGTAATACATACTTAAGAAGTATAGTTAAGTTGTCTATTTTATAAAATCTTAGAAATATGTTATCTTAAATATGTAAAATTGGTTTTTATTTTTTCGAGCAGTACGAAATGGAATATTCGGTCTCATATATAGTTGCGTCTTTCTATTTCATTATTTAGTCTGATGTCATTTTGTATGTTAATCGCTTAAATACTGAGGAATCAAATCTACCGTTTGAGTACCACCACTTCGATTTCTGTCTTGGGAAAGAGGAAAACTCTCCTGTAGAGAACTTAGGACAAGTAGTGTTTGGCGAACGTATACGCCCTGGTCCTTATCAAATACAGTTTTTGGATGATGTTGAATGCAAAGTGGTAAGTAGGATAAATTACATATTTAAGTAGCGTATTGTTAATTAAATTTTTTTGACTGCAGGCATGTCGCAAAAACTATACCGGTGGTGATGCGGACAGCGATCGGCGAATGATGGTACTTAAAAAGGGTATTAGTCTTAATTATCAGCATCATTGGATAGTAGATAACATGCCTGTTACCTGGTGTTACCAGCTTGAGACGGGCAAGCAGTACTGCAGTATTGGATTCCCAATGGGCTGTTTGGTTCGTCCAGATGGCGATGGTTGTCCCATCAACCTACCATACAAACGGACCTTGCACTACTATCCATTCAATCATGTGGATCTGGAAATAACTTATCACAGTGGCGCCCGCGAGGATTGGGGTATTGGCTTTGGTAGTAGTGGTCGCATTATATCCGTCAAGGTCACTCCAAAGTCGTTGAGTCACGCTGATCCCAGCAAACCAAACTGTTTGGGCACAGAGCCGTTGGCCATACCTGAAAGCTCCCTTAAGAATGGTGTATTTCTGGAAATTGTTTATACATATTCCGTGAAATTTGTGCTGAATAATTCAGTGAAATGGTCCTCGCGCTGGGATTATATTTTGGAGTCGATGCCGCATACAAATATTCAATGGTTTTCTATACTCAACTCGTTAGTTATTGTTCTCTTCCTGAGTGGTATGGTGGCTATGATTATGTTGCGAACTTTGCACAAAGATATAGCACGATATAATCAGATGGACAGTGGTGAAGACGCACAGGAGGAATTCGGATGGAAACTTGTTCACGGGGATGTATTCAGGCCACCACGTAAAGGAATGCTCCTGTCTGTTTTCCTTGGCTCCGGTGTGCAGGTGTTGGCAATGTCTATGGTCACGCTGGCTTTCGCTTGTCTTGGTTTTTTGTCACCAGCAAATCGTGGAGCTTTGATGACTTGTTCTATGGTGTTGTTCGTGTCGTTGGGAACACCCGCCGGATACGTTTCAGCTAGAATCTATAAGAGCTTTGGCGGTGTGAAATGGAAGAGCAACGTCATACTCACATCTCTTGTTTGCCCAGGGTAAATTTCAACAAGATTTTTAGTTACAAATTATGAAATTTTTATTATTTTCCTTATAGAGTCGTTTTCTCGCTTTTCTTTGTGATGAATCTTGTCCTTTGGGGCGAGAGCAGCTCTGGGGCTGTGCCTTTCAGTACGCTGATTGCCTTGTTGGCCCTGTGGTTTGGAGTCTCAGTGCCTTTGACCTTTGTTGGTGCCTACTTTGGTTTTCGCAAGCGAGTGAGTTATATCTATTGAATTTATCTGATTTAGTTTTGCCGTAAAGATATTAGACATTAACATTTTTTTATTATGTTTATTGCAGTCTCTTGAGCATCCAGTGCGCACCAATCAAATTCCGCGTCAAATTCCCGATCAGTCAATCTACACGCAGCCTATTCCTGGTATTGTTATGGGTGGAGTTTTGCCATTTGGCTGCATTTTTATTCAGCTATTCTTTATATTAAGTTCGTTATGGTCAAATCAGATGTACTATATGTTCGGATTTCTCTTTCTCGTATTCCTGATACTTGTCATCACATGCTCCGAAACAACAATCTTGCTTTGCTATTTTCATCTATGCGCAGAAGACTATCATTGGTGGTGGCGATCATTTCTTACCTCGGGCTTTACAGCCGTTTATTTGTTCATATATTGCTGCCACTACTTTTTCACAAAGCTCTCAATTAAGGACAGCGCTTCGACGTTTCTTTACTTTGGCTACACAGCTATCATGGTATTCCTGTTCTTTTTGCTAACCGGCACAATTGGCTTCTTTGCATGCTTCTGGTTCATACGAAAAATCTATAGTGTTGTCAAGGTCGATTAGGCGCATAAATCAAGTATTTATACAATATGTGTGCTCGTGTGTTTTTTATGTGTAGCCACAATTTATACTTAAGCCTAATGTGTGTGATTTCTGCGCTGTGGGTGACCAGCCGGTTTTCTGTTTATTATAATGATCTTATTAATGTACGACTACTTATATAATACATAATGTATATTTTTATGTATATAAATATGTGAGTATGTTGTAGTACCGAAGCGCGCAATAATATTTAGTATAAATCAGAAAATACGAGAGAAGAGGGTGCAAATCCATTGTGTAAGTTACATGTTTAAGAAACAATTTATAAACAATTTTTGGCATGCATTCAAATAAACATCCTATTCTCTATATAAACGTATTTCGGAAAAATAAAAGATTTAAAACAAAAATAATGAAAATTATATAAATTAAATTAACACACATTTAACCGTCGTTATTTATTAATTTTTAATTATATATACCTTTCCTTTTGTTTATTCTTGAAAAACAAAAGCCAATTAATTTTTACCGAAGCTTGGATTACAAGGATAAAGATATGTGTAATATTTTAAAAGTATGTACCCTAGTTTAAAGTAATAAAAAACCGACTTGGAATTAAAAAATAAATCATAAAATCAGATTCGAAAATGTTACCTTTCTCTTATTGACTTTACACAAGGGTTGCAACCCTTCCCATTGCATCATATGACAGACATTTTTAGGGCTTCTGCTAAACGGAGAAATTGTCTTTAAACGTATTCCAAGAAATTGTAGAGCGTTCAATCCACTAGACAAATGACAAGCCAAATTGTGGAAAGTGAAGATGAGTTCGAAGAGTTCTCGGAGCTGCAGCAACATAGCAAGCCCAAGGCGCAACCGTCGGTGGATGTAAGTATCCTCGTTGCTCTGGAAATATGTATTGTAAGCTACAGTGGATAGCGTTTTAGGAAGCTTTTGATTTGGATGATTTGCTGCCAGTCATTGGTGAGTTCGGCAAGTACCAGAAGCTTCTCGTCTTTGGCATTTGCCTGCCTGCCTGCATACCATGCGGATTTTGTGCTTTCAACCAACTCTTCATGGCCGACACCCCTGAAGATTATTGGTGTCGGGTTCCGGAGCTTCTTCAAATGGATCTTGAGCAGCGCAAATATTTGGCTATACCTAAGGAAATGGTAAGTTCATGCAGTCCGACTTAAGTTTTAAGTTATAGGTCCGTTTGTAAGTCCCTTGTACCTTTATTCAACCTTAGGAGAACGACAAGTTGGAATTCAGCAAATGTTATACATATGGCGTCAACTGGACACAGTTTCTTGACTCTATTGAATACACTGATGAAAGTACTATAACACTGGAGCCTAATAGCAGCTGGCCATTGGTTAAATGTAGTCAAGGGTGGGAGTACAACACGACCAGTGTCTGGTCCTCGATTGTGATTGATGTGATTAAAGAAACATATACACAGCTACAATTAATCTACATCTAGTCCCATTTAGAGCCGCTCTTTGCCACTCATTTCCTAGTCATTCA